GCTGAACAAGGGGCTGGAGGAGGCCGACTCCTCCACGGGCAGCCCCACCAGCATCGACAAGATCGCCGCCCAGGGCAGGAAGAGGAAGAAGAGGACCTCCATCGAGGTGAGCGTCAAAGGCGTGCTGGAAACTCACTTTCTCAAATGCCCCAAGCCCGCCGCCCAGGAGATCTCCTCGCTGGCAGACAGCCTACAGCTGGAGAAAGAAGTGGTGCGGGTCTGGTTTTGCAACAGAAGGCAAAAAGAGAAAAGAATGACTCCGCCAGGGGAGCAGCAGCCGCACGAGGTGTACCCGCACAGCGTGAAAACGGACACAGCCTGCCACGACCTCTGACTAGCGGGCCGGACTGCAGCCGCGCGGATTTGCGGCCGGGGGTTTCACTTATGTTGAAAGAGGGAACGCAAATAACGGGAGACTTCGAGCCGGGGGCTTTCCCGCTCACCGTCTGGGCAATATTTTTTCTCTCAAACCTTTTCGCTGATCAATACGTATTGTTTACTCGCAGACAAGGTTTGTTTTCGGTCTCCGCTTAGGAAGAAGGAAAAAAAAAAAGAAAACCCACGGGAAAAAAAAACCAACAAAAAAAAAGGAAAGACAGATGTGTGCCTATGAATAACCTTCCAGCGCCTTGGTTATATCAGCTGTATTTCAGGTGAATCTGTTTTACAATAGACTAGTTTTGCATTTTTAAAGACTTATATAGCGTTTTTAAATGTCTGAGGTGTTTTACTACAAACTGTACACAATATTTGTGACCTAATTTGTATCGAATTGATCAGTCAAACCTTTCTCCCTTCCCCACGACCCGGGAATGTCACTTGGCGAGGAAGAGGAGGTCGGCCGGGGCCTTCCTCCCCGCCTGCCCCCGGCGAGCAGGGGCGCCGCGCCGGGCAGCAGCGGCGTCCGCACGCCCGGCGCCGGGAGCAGCCTGGTTCCTTGCAGCTTTTTTTCTCTTCCTTTTCAAGAACTTCCTAACACGGTAAAACGGTCGGATTACAATCCTGACCCCCCCCACACCCCCACCCCCAACAGCAACAACAACTCCCAGGGAAAATTTTTAAAGAGAGCCGAAATTAAGCATCACAAACAAAACCGTGGCATTTGCCAGTCCTTTTCTTTCCGAAGATGTGTTGGGCTTTTTGGTCAGCGCCAGACTGAGAGGTCTGTAGTAAAACACCTTTATAATTCTGCGCTTTGGCTTCGGAAATCAGTTTCTCTGTATTTTGTTTTTATAGTGAAGAGGAATGAGGTGTCTAATGAATT